GACACATACATTTAAAATTCTTAAAACATCATCATGTAGACATGTGTAAAAAATATAAAAGAATATTAAAATAAAAGTAAGATAATTAGTAAAACACAGGAAAGATAAAAAATAAAAAAAAAACAAAAAAAAAACTATCACAGCTATAATTTATATTGTAACATCGTTTGGTGTAAATACAATGAAATTATTGAAATGCTTCATTAAAAAGATGCGTTTTGAGACGTGTTTTAAATGTAGACAAGGACGGTGAATTACGAACACTCAGGGGTAAACTGCTCCATAAGTAAGGACCCTGGAAGGCAAACGATCGTTCACCATAGCTCACAAGTCGAACAGGTCTTTTAAGTAAGAGATTACCAGAGGATGACCGCAAAGTACGACTAGGAGAATATAATTCTAATAGGTTGCACAAATAAGAAGGTGTCATGTGATTAAGACATTTATAAGTTAATAAAAGTATTTTAAAACGGATTCTAAAACGAACAGGGAGCCAGTGTAAATTGTATAAAACAGGAGTAATGTGGTCATTAAAATTGGTTCTACTTATGAGTCTGGCAGAACTATTCTGCACCTTTTGGAGTTGATCTATCAATCTGTTGGGAAGGCCATTTAATAGAGAATTACAGTTATCAAGTCTAAAAGTGACCATAGAATGAATTAAAATCTTTGAAGCTTCCTCCGAAATATTTTTACGAATACGACTGATGTTTCTGATGTGGAAATAACATGATTTACAAATATTATTAACTTGTTGTTCCATGGACATCTTAAAATCAAATACGACAACTATATTGCGCGCAGAAAGAGAAGGAGACACATTATATTCAGCTATTCTAATTTCCTTATTGAACGAATCATTAAGTTTTGATAGCAGACTATCGGATCCCAAAAGCAAATACTCGGTTTTGTCAGCGTTCAGTTTCAGAAAGTTAGTGGACATCCATGTATATGAATTTCCCCTATACATAATTCGACCTGGGCCTTGGTAATAGCTGCACCAGTTGACGGTTTAAATGATAAGTATAACTGTGTGTCGTCAGCGTAGAGATGGAATTCAACATAATACAAGAATGATTGCGCATTCACTTTCAGTGCAAATGAACCCATTTGACCTTTGACTCCGAATATCTCGAAAACGCCCCAACGGCGGACTGATTACCACTCGGCATCGTATTCTACACAAAATTTCACTCTAGAAAAGTTAGGTCTGGTTTTGTGCCCATTTAATGGACACCCCCCCCCCCCCCCCGTGCTGAGCCTCCGGTCTAATTTCATTTGTCACTGTCGAGAATAGGTCTACCTAACTTCTTAAATAAGCCTACCTAACTTCTTAAATAAGCCTACCTAACTTTTAGAAATAAAATTGGCGAAAGGAGTGACAGTAACACATCTATTTAAAAAGTTAGGTAGACCTATTCTCGACACGACGTAAAGTATAGTATGGGAGAACGGGGCAGGTTCGGCCTCGGGGCCATGTGTCAAATTGAAATTGTACATATTACAACCCTTACACACCATATCGAATGAAAACTTTTTTATTTTGTTACCTTTTTGCCATTTTCCGAGTTTTCCGAGTTTTGTATTTTCGTATAGGCCAAAATACAAAACTCGGAAAACTCGGAAATTTAATTATAACTGCCATATTGCAGTATTTTGGTTAAAATCTAACTGAAAAGGTTATAGATCATGTCCAACTTATTAAATAGATGTGTTACTGTCACTCCTTTCGCCAATTTTATTTCTAAAAGTTAGGTAGGCCTATTCTCGACACGACGTATATAGTATGGGAGAACGGGGCAGGTTCGGCCTCGGGGCCATGTGTCAAATTGAAATTGTATATATTACAACCCTTACACACCATATCGAATGAAAACTTCCTTATTTTGTTACCTTTTTGCCACTTTCCGAGTTACTGTCACTCCTTTCGCCAATTTTATTTCTAAAAGTTAGGTAGGCCTATTCTCGACACGACGTATATAGTATAGGAGAACGGGGCAGGTTCGGCCTCGGGGCCATGTGTCAAATTGAAATTGTACATATTACAACCCTTACACACCATACCGAATGAAAACTTCTTTATTTTGTTACCTTTTTGCCACTTTCCGAGTTTTCCGAGTTTTGTGTTTTCGTATAGGCCAAAATACAAAACTCGGAAAACTCGGATATTCGATTATAACTGCCATATTGCATTATTTTGGTTAAAATATAACTGAAAAGTTACAGATTATGTCCAACTTATTAAATAGATGTATTACTACAACTACTTTCGCCAATTTAAAAAAATAATATTTTTGATAATTTTCCAACTTTTTCTCTTTCCGAGTTTTATGATTTGACTCGATTGAAAACACAAAACTTGGAAATGTCGGAAAAAATTGTCCGACTTTTTTGTTTGAATAGAAAACTCGGAAAATATTTTCCCACTTTTCAGTTTGAAACAAAAAGTCGGACAATTTTTTCCGAGTTTTGTGTTTTCAATCGAGTCAATTCATTAAACTCGGAGAGGAGAAAAGTCGGAAAATATTTTCCGAGTTTTGTACCTGACCGACGCTGGCAAATTATTTATACATGTGATTTTTAATTCAATTTTTCTATTTTCATTTTCGCGATGCATGCTTACAAATATATTTTTTCTCCGGATCACTTTCTCGAATTGGGTGTTTCGGAAAAACAATGAAGGGGGGAGGGGTGGGCATGCCCAATTTAAAACTCTTTGGTTTAGCCGATCAAAATGATCTCCGTACAATAACTAAATTTCCCTTTGCAAGAATTACAAATAGGCTAGTACTAGGCATTATTAATAAATTTTCGACCAATACGGAGCACCAGACTGTAATTATTGCTTTACATGACGACTCAGTGACGTTTGATGACAAAGATATTCGAAGTAGGTTAGTCAGACTGAAGACAAAGAGAAAGCTGGGTGAAAATATTAATTATTCTAATAAATCTTTAAAATTATATGACGATTATCTCGACATCCCTTTTCTCCGGGATAGTGCACATACCAGCGCGACGCATTTAATTATTAGTGAGACACAGACATCTGCCGATGCGACTTTGACCAAGTTAAATAGGAAAAATAAGTATAAGTATTCAGAGTAGCCAAGTCTCTAACTCAAAATCATTCAAAATCTTATACATTGAAATCACGAATTATTTGTCAATTTAAATCAACATTGATGACAAAATAAATATTTTACCATTGGTACACCGTTTCAGCCACATTTGTAACAAGGGACTAGAAGAACGCGGCTAGACATTCCAAAAGTCATGGAAAACGGTGACCGCGTATTCTTACCTGGGGAGCATGCGCAATAAATACTATCGGTGTAGACTGGAATATTGCCGCTAGAGATTGCCATTCGTTTAAGACTTCTGGCGTATTTCGCCGAACATAACTGATTAGAAATTACAGAAACGATTGAATGTAAATCAGTGTATATACATTCATATTACATTATTATACGTGTTACGACTCATTTCTGTCAATTTCTAGGTTCCAAACATTTTACTATTGGTACACGAATCGTGCACCATATGCGTTTCAGCGCTGTTTGTAACAAGGAACTCGAAGAACGAGGGTAAACATATACCACAAGTCATGTCAAACGGTGACCTATATTCTTACATGGGGAGAGCATGCGCAATAAATGCTCTCGGTGTAGACTGAAATAACCAGACGCTAGATATTGCCATTTGATCGAGACTTCTGGCGGATTTCGCCGAACATAACTGATTAGAAATTACAGTAAAAACAGAAACGATTGAATGTGCCAATTTAGCGATTTAGCTCCTTTAGTCTCATATAACAACTTTTGGTCTTCGAAGGAATTATTAGTGAGCAGAAATTCGAACATGTATCTGTTACCACTCGTCACGTCAGTCGGTTATATAGAAGGATAAATCGTGTTTTCCTTTTGCGTTCATCATTCATTTCTTGAAATCCTCATAACGCATATATGGTAGCAATGTTAAAATTATATTTGGAACGTGTTTAACCAGTTCTATCACATATGTGATAATGACTGACAGCAATATTGTCGTTTAAATGAATTTTAGCAGATCTTGATGATATAGCTGGGTCCATTAGTAAATCCGTAATTTTCGAAATTTTAAATACCATGTCAGACAGAGCCAGCACCGAAAACCTTTTATACACTTTATTTACACAGTACAGAGGCAATGTAGAAACCTGATCAGGGCCCTGTTTCACAAAAACTTAAACTAAAATCACTAAAATAGATTTTAACTAATATCGAAATGAAATTTTATTTTATGCGTTTCACGAAGATTGATTGTAACTTAAAATACAATTTTAATTTTAGTTAAAATTGCTTGCGCACAATTCCGAAGAGGGCACCTAAGGTGTAAGCATAAACGCTTCGGAGCAGAAAACTCTGTCTAGGTTGAACTAACGGTTAAAATACCAATGGGGAGAGTTTTATACGTCGTAGCAATGTTTGCACATGGTCAGACAGCCGTAGAGAGATGTAATTGCGTATTATTCGTTTTGAAATGTATCGGTGGGTTGGTCTTGAACTTGCAAGTCGCTTTCGTGAATTTGGCATTTGATTTACACTTAGGCTCCAATGGAAATAATGCGTATTTTGGATAACAGAAACTATTGAGAATTGTCACAAACATGTGATATTTCTGATTCAAACGACTAATCTAGGCTGTAAATTATTGTCGAATTTTAAACCAATGACACCCAATAGCCAATGTTCCGATGCCTAGATTTGAAATGTCAGCCCAATGGAACCTTTCAATAATGCCAAAGTGTCACACTCCTTATTGGATAATGCCTATATATCTTACGAAATTAAAATGATTTTCACCCAATATAAGACATTTAATTTGAAATAGGCCTATTAATTTGTTTAAGAACACATTTGAGATTATTGATTTATCTTTTTACAAATTATCATAACCCCAAAACCATATGAGTAAATACTTTGCATATGGCATTTCTGAAATAAAATGAAATGAAATAAAATGAAAAGAAATTGAATGAGAATTGTTTTTGTCAATGATACATAGTATGTTAAAATTATGTGACCCGGGCCATTGGCAATTATTCCAAATATTATATCCGTAATAGTTGACAGAAAGTATGGTTGCACCAACTCATTGATATATTGTCATAATATGTATAGAGACCCTTTCCAGTGACAGGAGTATGTCCAAGCGGCGGGCGTCCCTATGACAACGTAATAATACATATTTCAAAAAAGATAAGCACACTCTGTTTAGCACACAACACTCGCTACACATAGTGTGTCATTGGACATTGGACTTAGTCAAGTTAAAGGAAATACTTGAAAATGTCTATGTACATACCGATTTGCACGTAACAGTCCACGGTCACTCGCGCGCTATTTCATGTCGAAAATGGGTAAAATTACTAATTGGACTATTTCAGGTTGTCTTGTTGAGTGCCAGATCAACAATAAGAACTGTAATGGATACACTACTGACATTTCTGCATGTAATTCAAACAATGGTCTGACTGGAGATTCAGTGTTGTCTTTTTATGAATTACCCACATTAGGTTCGGGTGATATAACTGTTATATGTGGCGGTAGGTACTTTGTGATGTCTAAGGTGTAAATGTCCCTGGCGTTAAAAGAATGAAATTCAGTTTAAACGTTACGAGACGTTGACATTTATTCTTTATCCGTGATCTTTAAAGTAATTGTGCATGATTTCGAATTTTGTCTAATGGTTTGGATTGTTCGTACTTGGTTTTATTTTATTTGTATTTCTCGGAAAATATCAAATCGCAAACGGCTTACTTCACGATAATATTTAATCAGATTGTTTATTTAATAGTTAATTAAAGATTTATTATGCAAGAGCTATATCTGCCTATTCGAGGTGTACTTTCTTTGGGCCTGACATGTTATCTAAAGTAAAAACAGGTCTATCAATTAGATTTGGCAGTGGACTTGTTTTTACATTGGGAACACCTAAGATCTATAGAATTTGAGCTCATAATATCTGTGTAAATACTGAACGAAATGGAACTATTTTCTGACTGATATTCCTATTAAAATATGGCTTGAAACATTGTAACCTTCCGATCTAGAATTATACTATTCAAAAAAAGTAGGGGATATTTGATTTTTAAGTGTTATTAAAGTCACCTAATGAAACTGACGAAGAAACAAATGACAAAATGAAATGAAGTTCACATTCATCGATTTATTCCAAATGATCGTTAGACTAAGTAAGGCACAGACTGACCATTATAAGGGTAAAATGATACCCGGGGTCAAACAGCAAAGTTACCACAGCATCACAACCAAGTCAGTAACGGGTAAATCCTCCTCTGTTTGCCAAACAAGCATTGATCCGACGTGGCATACTCCTAATGAGACGTCTAAGGTCATTTTGGTCCAGATTGTCCCATTCCTGTTGCAACGCAGCAGCAAGTTCTTTGACATTGGCAGGACGTTGTTGACGTTGACGTAACCTCTGTCCAAGCATGTCCCAGACATGCTCGATGGGGAGAGGTCGGGACTCAGTGCTGGCCAAGGTAATGTGGTGATGTTCTGTTGTTGGAGGTAACCTGTAACGATCCTGGCCCTGTGACATCTTGCGTTGTCATCCTGGAAGATGAAACGGCGGCCATGACGTCGTGCGAACGGCACAACATGGACTGCCAAGATGTTGTCCCGGTAGTACTGGCCTGTAACACGCCCTGCAACAACATGTAAAGCCGTTCTTCCAGCAACAGTGATGCCTCCCCACACCATAAAAGAACCACCCCCAAATCGATCATGTCTGATGACGTTAACGTCTTGGAAGCGCTCGTTTCGACGACGCCACACCCTCCTACGTCTGTCCAAAAAATCAACAGTGAACCTTGACTCATCTGAAAACATCACATTGCTCCAGCGTCGATTATCCCAGTGTTGACGATCCCTACACCAACGACGTCTTGCCTGAATGTGATGATCTCTCAAACAAGGGATCACGCGAGGACGTCGGGCGCGAAGGTGACCCCTATGCAGTCGATTCCGAATCGTCTGGCCACTCACTCTCACACCAGTGTCTGTTTGAAGACGAGCGCTGATCTGATTTGCTGTGATGACACGATTTCTCAAGGCCAAGGTACGGATAAATCGATCCTGGGCTTGAGTTGTCGCCCTTGGTCGACCTGAGCGTGGTCTGTCCTGTACAGATTGTGTATCACGGTATCTGGACCATAGCCTGCTTATGACAGACTGAGAAACATTCATCGTCCGCGCCACAACCGCCTGTGTTGTGCCGATCTGTAGCATGCCAAGGGCACGTAACCTTTCATTTTGGGTAAGCCGACGCATATCAAAATTTGTTTTCTGGTCACTAAAACAATTAAACTGATGTTTCCACCCTGGAATTCAATGCCACAATGACTGTAACATTCAAAGTCAGAGTCATGCAAATCTTGGGTTGGACCCCCATGATGATCCCAAGCATCACCTGCATTCCATGCGGTAGCTATTGGTGCGTTTGGGCGTCACATGTAACTGGAAATGTTTCTTCTGTTAGGTTCTATAGTGACTTTTTTCGTAGTCATTTGCATATTTTAGTATTATGCCCCCAAAATCAAATATCCCCTACTTTTTTTGAATAGTATATAAGCCTACGCGCTTTACCGTAAACCTTGTATGAAAGATAACGACAGCGGTCCGAGATCAATAGCGACCGAAAGTAAAATGTTCATAACTTTAAATTTGCTGATTATCGTTTGAGGTATTCTGGATCGCTAGCAAATGGCGATATTCGCAACATCCTCTGCAAACGAAAGAGAGAACTTGCAAGCCACCGTCACCGAATGTGCCAATGTGAATGCAAGCCTGGATGTTTTCTAAATTAAATACTAAATAATTAATCTGGGTACATTTTAGCGTGGATCACTTCGTGAAAAAATATATATATTGCCCACAAACTGCAAATATTTGGTGTTAGTTGTCCAGTTCAGTATAGTAATGGAATACTCAGTTCATCCGCGACGATCCTTGTATGAAATGAAATGAAAAGAAAGGGGGTTTAGCGTTCTACTGTTCTGCTCCGACTGGGCTAATAAAGACGGGGTTCCTTGTATAAACTCTCATCTTCATTAACCATCTTGTTACAGAAAAATAGGACGCGAGTCGCCATTTATGTATTTATATCAACTCATGAAAAATAAGCAGTCTTGTAGAAAATCGCAATGAATTGGTTTATTTACACAATATAAAGCCGATTATCGAATGGAGGGGTGCAGTTCCAATTGTGTTTTTGATCCCGAATTGTTCATTTGTAAATTCACTGATTAATGACCAACCCGAATCTGAGATATCCTCGTGGCTATATATTATTGCCTATGTATAAACTGTTATGTTTTATTTTTAATTATTAACCATTTGTATGTCCCATTGATTCAGAAAAAATGGATGCCATATCCAAAGCAGTGAAATGCATAGCGGATACACACATAGCTTGTGGAACAACTGAAACCAAACAATTGGTAGCCTCTTCAAATCAATATACAGAAGTTCTAAAAACTATGTGTTCTCGTAAGAGCGGTAAGTTGTTTTATTGTCCCCCGCCTTTCGAAAAAAAGTAGTGGGCTATTAAAATGGGTCTCGTCTGTCTGTCCGTCACACTTTTTGGGGCACGATAATTGAGTGTTCACAATTCAGTGTTCATACTTGGTTGTGTTTATTATGTGCATACCTTGATGGAGTTCGAAGATGAGCATTTACTGCTTCGGCTAAGCAGAGATAAGCAATCTGATTGGTGGATGCTTTGTGACACAATAACTCGACTTCTAAATCGCACAGAATGTTCAGACTTGGTGTAGGTGTCTATTCGACCATGTGCGTGTTCTACTAAGGCCAAACAGAGATAAGCAATTTGATTGGTTAAAAACTTTGGATTACGATAACTATCTGAATGAAATTGATGAAACGCAAAGTATCGATTCATTATATCAATAACTTGACTAAGCTCGATGATGAGAATTTTCAACTTCGGCTAAGCAGCAATTTGATTGGTCAAGAGTATGGAACATAACAACCCTGATTTTAATTGAGGTAGAATGTTTAAACTTAGTGTAAATGCACACTAGATGAATGTCTTGACTGAGTTCAATGATTAACATTTTCCGCTAAAGCTAAGCAGGGGTAAGCAATTGTAATGGTCGATGCTTTGGGACAAGTTAACTTTGATTCTAACTGATGGAGAGGTACTTCAAAACCTTGACTGAGTTCCATCGTGAAGACTTTCTGCATAGACTAAGTTTAGATAATCAATTGAATTTCTTTTCAAAAAGATACATGTGCAATTAATTAATGTATCATTTATTTATTATGTGAAGAATATTACAAAAAGCAAAATTTCTTTCTCGCATTCTATCTGTATTTTCACATGTCTGTGCTGCGGGGCTGTTGGCCCGGAAAGGTAAACTTCTATATGGAACGAAAAGTCAAGGTCCCGTGTATCAGAATTGGTTCAGAATAGTAGGCTGTTAACCCCTTTGTGATATATCTGTATAGAAATATGTTGTTAAGTATATTGATTGTACTTCATTTATTATTTTTATCAATATTTTAAATTTGTATCAACCTGTAGTGTGCGTGAAATGTATCTAATGTAATCGATGTTTCTGCTATATGTAGTAAGAAAAATTTCATGGCAGCTGTTTTTAGGAGTTATTTTTCTGTTAATTACAAGATTCTCTTTCCAATTCTAATACTAATGCAAAGCACCATTTCAGCTTTTATAAGAAATTGTTTTTGTTTTCAGAGTATGATGGAACATGTGTTAATTATACCGCCATAGTTGGTTGTACAGGGGACAAACTGGAAGAAAATAACATAACATTAAGCAGCGATTCTACCTTCGCCGAGGAACGCATCGCCTTTTGCAAGTATGTATGATTCTTTGATAGAAACAGTCCATATTTTTGAATATCGAATCGCGAGAATCAAAATATTGTAAGCTAACACAGACAAATTGTATCAGTCAACTCTCATATGACTATTATATATATATATATATATATATATATATTCATACTCTCGTATGACTATTCTATATAATATATATATATATATATATATATATATATATATATATAGTCATACGAGAGTTGACTGATACAATTGCGTTGACAAAAGAAATATGTTTATTGCAAACGTTTCAGTTCTCTTCAGGTCATATTGATTATAACATAATGTAATATACTCTTCAAAAATAGTAGGGGATATTCTGAAACAATACAAAACTGCGGAAATGCACTGCTGTAACCAGTGTATGTTAATAACAGGCCAATTGCCTACACTGTCAAAAGAGAAAATGGATGTTTTTGATTTTTGTCTTAATAATGAGTAATTGCTCTACCAATCCTGTAGACATTCAGCAATTCGTCGTGGCATGCTCCTAATGAACCGTCAAATCACGATTTGGGGCAATCTGACCCACTCCTCTTGCAGTACCAAGGCCAATTCTTGCAGTGTTGTCCATTGACGTCGACGAACACGTCTCCCCATCATGTCCCAGACATGCTCTACAGGGGAAAAGGTCAGTACTCATGGCTTGCCAAGACAAATAGACAATATGGTGACACTGGAGGTAGTCATTCACGACACGAGCGCGATGGACACAGCCATTATCATCTTGAAAGATGAAACGTCGACCGGTACGTTGAGCAAAGGGCAGAACTATCGGTGCTAGGATGTGGTCACGGTAGTACACACCAGTGACCCTTCCATAAACAATATGCAAGTCCGCTCTGCCAGTCATGGTGATTCCTTCCCACACCATAAACGGACCCAAGCCCGAATCTGTCATGCTGTCTGACGTTAACGTTAGCATGGCGCTCATTTACACGCCTCCAAACGCGAACACGCCTATCAGTGAAATCCATAGTAAATCTTGACTCATCTGCGAACATTACACGCGCCCATCGACGATTACCTCAATTTCTACGCTGCTTACACCATTGACGCCTGTTTGCCATATGCTGGCAAATTAATGGAGACACAACACGTGGTCGTCGCGCATGCAAAGGTAGCCGATTTCTAATCGTTTGGGGTGTAACTCGAATTTCTGTAACTTGGTACAAGTTTACATAAAGCTGATTTATGTAAAGCTCAGTGATTCTGTTGGGGCGATATGTTCTTTATTTGTGAACATACTCTCAAAACATTCAAGTGTCCATGACTATTTATCACAACGTGCATAGGTACATACTTGCATTTCAATATCCCCTAGTTTTTTTTTTGGAACAGTATATATATGACTTTTCGATGAGTTGTCCATGCTTGGCATGCATAGATGTCACTTGATGACTGTCAGTTGTCACTTGACTTCGATAGGTAACAATGTATACAAATGTTATAGAAGGGAGATTATATGAGCAACGATACATGTGCCCCCAAATTTGCAATTTTACCACAGAATCGTTTGCTGGACCGCTTGTGGGGGGGGGGGAGAAAATCCTGCAGTTCTGTATCGTAGTGAACACACTATGACTCCCAATACATACATCTGCTGGGCAAGGGTGGGCAAATCAGAGAGAAAAGTATACAATGACGTTACGTCAGAGCGTAGTTATGAAACAGGAAAAAATATCAAATTAATTAAGTACAATTCCAAATAGTAAAATATAATAAAATATAACATCTAATATTATTAATATACGCGTATTAGGGCATAATATTTTTTAATAAAATACATTTCGTTACATTCTAATAAGTGACTATTTTTAGAACTTTCTTTGTAAAGAGGAAAAACTTTGAATACGCCTCGTTCGCATTTATCCAAATGGGTACTGACTTGGATTGTTCTGTTTTCCGGGTGCTAATTTGCAAACGATGGCGATTCATTCTTATATTTAGTTGGTCATCAGTTTTCCCAATATATTTTTCAGAACACTCATTGCATGTCATATGATATAAATCACATAATTGGATTTACAATTCATATTTGACTTCACATGCAATTCTGTATCTGTGGTGATCTGAATTGAATCGCCCTCGATTAAAATAACATGAGCATAAATGGCATCGTGTGTCCGTCCCCACACTTGGATACTGAAGGTTTTGAAAAATCCGAATCGAATCTCGATTTCTTCAGAATCCTGCGTAAATTTGGAAACTATTTATCAATTTATTTTTTTTTTCATGTGGACGTATATTGTCGTCGTACCTGTCCGTCCGTCCAGAATTGTTCGTGGACACTATACAGGTCACAATTCTTATCCGATTTTGACGATAGGTTTATCTCCAAAAGATCTCGGTTGCTTGCGATATTGGCATGTATCGGATCGAAATTTCATGGATTATGGCCCCTAATTGTAATAAAAATCACGTGTTTAGCTTGTGGACCCTATAGAGGTCACAATTTTAATGAAACTTGAAATGTAAGTTTATAACCCAAAGATCTCGGTTCCTTTCGATATTCTCGCATAAGGGACCGTAACCTCCTGATTTATGGCCCCTGATTGTACGAAAAATCTCGTTTTTAGCTTGTGGACCCTATAGAGGTCATAATTTTTATCCGATTTAAAAAACCGTTTTAGTATATCACCGTTACACCCTAAGGATGGCTGAGTTTGAATTTCGTGAACATCGGCCCAAAACTGACAGCCAAAATGGCCGCCTCTGGTTCTCAAATAGCGTAAAAATATGGTATATCAAAGTTGTGGACCCTCTAGAGGTCACAAGTTTCTTTTGATTTTGATGAAACTTGAAATGTAAGTTTATAACCCAAAGGTCTTGATTTCTTTCGATATTTGGATTGTAACTGCCTGAATTATGGCTCCTGATTGTACGAAAAATCGCGTTTTTAGCTTGAGGTCCCTCAAGATGTCACAATTATTATCCGATTTAAAAGAAACGTTCAAATATATCACTGTTACAGTGTTATTTTGGTTGAGTTCGAATTTCGTGAAAATCAGACAAAAACTGCCGGACAAAATGGACGCCCCTCGTACGCAAATAGTGTAAACATCTCGTATATCAAGGTTGTGGACCCCAAGAGGTCACAATTTTCTTCTGATTTTGATGAAATTTGACATGTAAGTGTATAACCCAAAGATCTTGGTTCCTTTCGATATCCTCGCATATCGGATCGTAACTTCCTGAATTATGGCCCTTGATTGAGCAACAAATCACATTGTTAGCTTGTGGTCCTTGTAGAGGTCACATTTTTTTTTATCTGATTTAAAAAAATGTGAATATATCACCATTACACACTAAGATCTTGGATCCTTTTGATAATCGCGGATACCCGAACTCAACTTCCTGTATTATGGCCCCTGATTGTTCGAAAAATGGCATTTGTAGCTTGCGGATTCTCTAGAGGTCACATTTTTTTGTCCCGATTTTAAAAACCGTTTAAATATTTCACCATTCCACCATAATGAAGGTTGAATTCGAATTTTGGCCGCTCTTTGTACGCAAATTGTGTAAAAGTACGCCATACGAAGGTTGTCGACCCTCTAGAGGTCACAATTTTTATTCGATTCTGATGAAACTTAAAACATATCTTTATATCCCAAAGATCGCAGTCCCTTTTAATATTTGCGCATTTCAGACCATAACTTTCTGGATTATGGCCCCTGATTGTACAAAAAATCCCGTTTGTTTTTAGCTTGTTCACTATCCATCTCTTGCAAAATGTGGGCGTATCTTGCCTGGCAGCCGCTGGTTTCATTTTCTAACTTTTGATCAGTTCACCCTGATTTGAAAGGAACACATCCCCTTTTCTTGCGAAGGGTTTATTACTTTCTTTCTTCATGAAGTCTGGAATATTTAACTTTATTATTAGATACTATAATACATTAGTGTGTATCGTGTTTTTATAATATAGGCTGGTTTCAATTTTGCCATCTTTCGAAATTGCTACTGTTACATTAAGAAAACTTTGACTATATTTTATCTTTTCGTTTGTAAATGGAATACTATCGGTTAATGAATTGAGTAAACAATGTAAATCGTAAATCGGCTAAAACAGAATCATTTTGGTTAAACATAGATTATAGTATAAGTGCATGAGGACCGCACTACACGCAAAATAAAAATCTACAAGATAAACCTGCGGACAAGACAGAAAATAGACATTGCAAAAAATAAACAATTATCAAATCAAGTGAATGGATCCGGGGGCCAGTCGTAAGCGTCCAGTCCAGGGCCTGTTATGGTACAGGCTTCACTTAAAATGAAAAAAAAAAATGATTTACAAAAAAGAGACCAATAATGCAAGAGGTAAATATGCCTATTGCAGGTCTTTCTTTAGGCCTGAAATGTTAACTAAATTATCAATTAGACATTAATTAACTTATCGATGTGTATTGGATTAGGTTCCGATTTGCTGTTCGACTTCCATTCATAATTCAAACATGAAATGGATAATCGAGACTATGTTTTTATTTTACCCACTTTAGTAATGTTGATCGAGACTAGGCCGAAAATTCAATCGCTAAAATCTCGGTTCAGAGTGGACCAATTTGACTGAAATCTTCAGCAAATTCCCTTTACATTATCTAGCTTTTAACTATTATAGTGAGAACTGACAGCTCTTTATCTAATCTCCCATAATGTATCTTATGGGAGAGAGAGATTTGTTTATAAAATCGTTTGTGTATAATATATGAATTACATGAGAGATTAATGAATATTAAATTACAAACACTTTTGGAACGATACGGGTCAAAACAAATTATCCAGAAAATATATTTTAAAAAAAAATCACACAGATCACACATTTCAGTCATCTTACAAAACGCACCGACCTCCATTTGCACCACACGGCAATTAACCAATGAAAGCCGTTATCTCATCACGTGGTCTTTTAGTTACAGTAATGCTTGTCCTAATCTACTTTTACGATTTTCTTAATGTTAGGTTTTAACTGTCGTACGATGCGCTACGATTGGATTTTCCCTATTGAATCCATGATATGGTACGTGCAGACACCTTCTGATACGTTTCGATACGATTAACACGATTGCTACGACGGACCAGAATATATAAAACCTGATAGGATCTCTACGATTAAAAGGGACGATTTCAACCGTAGCGCGAATCCCGATAGTGGGAAGTTAGCATGAAACGTAATCAGATGGCCAGTGTAAGTGTTTTTTTGCCGAGAAGAATCTGCGGTATTGTACATTTACTGTCTTTCAAAAAGTTCGGGTGGGGGGTACTAATTAATTGATGACTGTATAAAGAAATGTCTGTCGACCAAAATATGAAGTGGAGAAAACTACCTTCAAAAGACGGATACGAAATGATTTTAATTAGCCTGGTTATCAACCAAACCCATGAACAAAACTATAATTTATCGTGTCCACTTCACAATTTTGTTTCTTTTTTTTTCTTTACAGATACCACGAGTACCTTACGTCTTGTGCAAACACCAATGCACAACTAGGATCGTGCAGTAAAACCAAGACCAAAGAAATATACTTATCACTTGTAGCTAAACTCAGACCTGGCATATGTGGAGCTTCATCCATAGTTTCTTCAGTTCTTGTACTGGTTGTTTCTCTTCTTGCCGCTTTCTTTAATTAAATCTGATTAACTAGAGCTATAGCGATCTTATCTGCTGGTTATTTGCCGTCCTCTTACTTTCTCTGTTGAGATTAAAGTGTAAAAAGACAAGCTCTCCTATCTGTCTTCTGTAGTGTTTTTTTTTTACAATATCTTTATGCACTTGACAAATCCCTCACAATGACTATAAATTAGGTCAAAACTGCATTATCGATAATTAATTCGATATGATGATTGTTCAGAATCCATGAAGCTTTTAAATTTGATTTTAAGTTCTGAACTGATGGCAGTTTAACGTAGTTTGTGTTATGTTCCCATGGGTTGATATGTGTTTTGTGTTTTTAAGCTTTTTTTTCATCTGTAAAGGGGCATAAAGCTAAACTTAATTATGATGTTTTACTTTATTAAAATTGGTATCGCTACAAAGGCACAAGCGACCCAAATAAAGGAAAGGTTGTACAAATAAATAAATAATGATCATTTCTAATGCTCTATACTCACGAACTGATTTAATTTTTTAAAAATTTGAAAATTCTTACGAAGTTTAATGTAATAGACACATTGACAGAAATATGCCCTTTTATTCTTTGTATTCTGAAACAGAGTGTGGATATTTCCGTTTTATTATCATCAAACAAAATGGTATTCTGCGGGAAAAAAAACTCTACAAAAGAATAAGATATGGAACATAAAAATTGTTCTTTATTATTGTTTGAATGTCTATAATTATAAATATATGTGTTGTGACTATATATAAGTATAATGTAATCTATTAACAGATTATATAATAACATCTTGCCTAAATTGGGTACGAAATATACTCGATTCCTTTATTCTCAGAAAAGTTTAATATATATTTTTTTTTATTTTTTTTTTAAATCTTTCTTTGATAATTATATAAGTTTTCAATGTGTTAATAAAATATAAAAAAAGAATGTGTTTTCTCTATTTGAGTTTCTATTAAATCAACGGGTTATCTACCCTAATTGGGTTTATGGTCAAAAGTGAATATATCAGAATTATCTGTATATTCTATTCCATGTCGGCAATTAAAATGAAATTTAATATTTAATTTTGCCTCTGTTATCAATGACAAAATCTCAAATTCTGCACACAATCAATGAAGATAGAATATGCACAGGCTGATAAAAAGTCAGTAATTAAATCATTTATTGGTCATCGATCGATATCTAGATTCTTTCCAGATTGCAAATCCAATATCATTGGTGTCTTGTATGATCTATCGAAAAATAGGCGAAATGCCTCTTGGTGATCGGGATACCCACTAACCCCCAACAAAAGCCACAAAAAAGTGTTTTGTTTTTTTGTAAAACCATTATTTCAAAATACATGAAATTTAGGCATAGTGATCTGGACTGGAGATGAACTAGTTCGTTAAATGTGGTTATTTCAACACCGATTGGCTGCATATTACAGAAAAAGATTTTGGTTTACATTTGGGGTATCAGAAATGGCTCAAAATTCGGAAGCCGGGTAATTGTAATTATCTCCTTTCTGAATGGCCCTTAAACAGTAAACTGTTTATTAATCTGTGAATTGTATTGGATTACCCAATATATTCAGTTCCTAAGGATGCTGGTTCATGAAAGCTGCTAACAATATCGCTACGGCTGTAGAAGATAATGTTGGGCAAAGTAGTATGGCTGTCTTCTCGCTGGGCTGTTATGTTCCCAATTATCGTAAACAAATCGGATTACTAATCAGAGCGGCACTTTAACCCAATCATTCTAGAAAAAGACTTACTACATGGATTAAAGCATTTTTTTGTGAACAGTATGTTGTCACATTAGTGATTAATTCATCACAATTCCAAGACATTACGAGAAAGTTTAGAGTCTGTACACAGTCTATACATCAGTGGACCAGACGATTGATGAACACCATTGGCACCTGGAACCACGCTCTCAGAAAAGTCTGGTACAATCCATCGGCACTACGTTATTAAGTATCATCTGAATTTCATCCCAAAGATGTTCAATCGGGTTTAAGTCCGGACATGAAAATCATGGAGAACATATTACCATTTCATAAGTCAGGTTGCGTTTTTGAGAACATTTCCTGGGTTCAATTTTTTGTTTGGGAAGGAGCCTTATTGCTCAGGTAAAGTTGGAGATGTTGTCACAAATATACAATAAAAACATTTGGCAAGTTTTATGCAATGCGTCTATTCAGAGTAACATACCAACCTGACGTTTCTTTTGCTGCTTAGTATAGTTTGAATTAATTATTCCGTGTGGCATATTGTGTGTCTGTACCTGTAATTTATAATTAATAGTATTACCGAAGCCAAATACAATGTACTTACCTTCAGCGTTAGATATTATAAGTCTAGTACATCTATGTACTGTATCATATTCATAAGCTGATTTCTCATACGAAGTTGTACTACTGGAACTAATAAATTGTACCTAATTGTTGGATACATTAGGAGAAGTATCTAAAACAGCTGCAATCAAAATAGATAAAATAAATTCTAGTTATATGTTCCCAACAAATTCACGCTTGCAATTCGCCTGCACATTTTCTTACAGATAATGAATTTATATGACAACTGTATCAACTAGCTATGTAAGTGGGCGTTGCGCGGAATTAGATTAGATGTTTTCCAAATGTCGTAGAATATTCCTTTCATATTCAAATAATACACATCACGTGGCCATGATCAAACTTAAACATTAACTACTATGGCAAAATCCGTATGGAGTTTATCTTTGTTTATGAAACATCAATAATTACGCAACAACCAATTGTCTATATTATAAATACAAAATAATACAAACAAAACCTCCCGCAACTTTATTAAATCACAAATACTATAGTTTTAAATGAGCTTTTCCCAGACTATATAGAGAATCTTCTACGTGTCCTTTTTGATATCAAACAATATCAACACAAGTCAATGAAGTAAAAAAAAAAAGATATTTTTTTGGTATCAAAAGAGACGAGTAGGAGATTTTATTTATCACCCAATTTTTTCTTACATGCACAAATAAATAAATATAATTCTTTGCTATAGATTTCACTTTTACTGAACCTGATTACACTACGGCGTAGTGATACATCCTTTTTTGACAGCAATTCAACCATTGCATAGTCCTTTATATTGACTCAGCGTTTCCATCAAGGCCAATTAAATAAAATAGTTCCTTTTTAATAAGTTTCTTTTAGTAAAAAATGAACTTTTCTTTAAAATTTAAAAAAGTAGTTCCTTTTTGATTGACCAATCAAATTTATTTATTGGGTGATAAATAGCAATAATATGAATTGGGGTTTAACGTACTACTTTTCTGCTCCATCCAAGCTGTATAGACCACATAAGTTAGATACCGTATACTTTATACCTCTCCCGACAGTTATCATTTACATTTACATCTCCCGTCAACAATAATGGAAAATAAGTGACAGTGCATCGCCATCCAACAGAATCGTACGCCCATGTAGGATAACCGTTTGGCACTACGACTGTCTGACGTTTCATTTAATTTTAAGGCATTAATCTAAGGTGTCATATATCTTTTATTCTATGGGTTGTAGGCCTAGCTTACGTGTTTGACCTTACAATAATACGAACAAGAAAATGTAGGTACGATTAAAGCATTGAATTGGTCGCCAAGACTAAACAATAACAACAAAATTTCACTACGATTACACACATACATACGTTTACTATTATAATTATAATAATAACAATAATAATAATAAAAACTTTATTCAGGCATGAGAACAGTAAAATATATTTTTGGAGGAAAAATATTTGAGTGCCGAGGGTACGAATACGCAGTGTGCGCAGCACACTGCCCACCTAGGGGGGTCTGGGGGCATGCCTCTCCAGAAATTTTTTTGACATTTAACCGTCAAAAACTGGCTTTTTCACACATTTTGAGTGATATGTGACCTGAAACATTACCATATTTCAACAGACTTAAAATGGATATTGTATCCTTTCTTGCTGTAGATCTAGTAAATATTGTTTAATTGCAGTCAAGCCTAATACGTATATTGCAGACTGGGGTAACAGATAGTTTGTTTACATTTTTACCGAGCGTACTGAAAACGATCGCTCGGCAGATTGTGAAATTTGAGACCTCACCCCCCTTGAAAATTTTTATTGCATTTTTGTATTGATCTCAAAATCAACCAAAATGAAAATAAAAACGCGGAATTCCATTCCGCGGAAAATTCTCATGCCTGTTTATTTAATGAGGCAAAGTATTTAGTTTGCAAAAAAACTAATTTTCCATAAGTCCCTCCTAAGCTACAAAGACATATATACATGTAATATCAGGATAAATTCAAAATCATTTGAAATGCAATATCATTTTAAAGTCCTAAACTACAAAACATATACATTATACAAGTAGAATATAGGAAGAACACTATAATTATACACAAAATAAGATAGAATGCAGTTGCAAGTTAAAAATAATAAGTACGTCATCAGTTGAATATTATGGTTTCTTCAGTGCTCAATATAAATGAGTTTTCAGTTTAATCTTAAAATTTTCAACCTTTTTACACATCTTTATATCAAAAGGCAGATTGTTCCATTAACGACATGCAGAATAATGAAAAGTACGTTTCATGGATTCCGTTTTGCATTTTTGAAGAAAAAGAGATTTACTGGTCTGTGAACGGAGCAAGATATCCATTTTGGAAACAAGAGATTTTTCAATAAAATGGGAATTTAGATAATGAAATGAAATGGAGTTTAACGTCTTACTGTTTTGCTCCAATGCTGGGCTAATGAAGAAAGTGGAGTATTAAATGTAATAATTTTGAATGATAAGACAATATTATTATAAAGAATCCTCTGTGTAAGGGTAAGCCAACCAAGTTTAGTAAACAAAGAGGTCGACGGAGTTTCAATTGGTGCATCAAAAATAATTCTTGCTGCCCTCTTTTGTAATTTTAAAAGGATGTCTAATCTACTTTTGGTAGCATTTCCCCAAATAACAGAACAATAATCAAATATTGGTAGTATGTAACTGTTATAAAACAAAATTCTTGTCTCATAAGGTAATTGATCTTTTATCTTATACTTTTGATGCAATTTTTTTTAGACATATCTGCTATCTGTGCTTCCCAATTAAGGTCTTGGTCAATTTGAATTCCAAGTAATTTTGCGGTAGTAAACATCTCAATTTTCTCACCGGAGTGATAAAGTTTTGATGAAAGTTTTGATTTTGTTTCCGAAGGATTGATTACCATCCCATTGTTTTCACACCATTTAGGAACCAAATAGAGGTCATTTTGGAGATTATTGGCGATGGATAAAATATCTTTGTGTGAACAATGCAGGGTACTGTCATCAGCAAACAAATCTTTCTGACTTGATTCAATATTGAGTGGGAGATCATTTATAAAAATAAGGAATAGGAGAGGACCCCGCATTTGACTGTAGTAATTGAAGAGGCAATTGGTCCTAAACAGACTGTTTGCTTCCGTGAGTCAAGATATGATTCAATCAAAATTTGTGAATTATTATCAAATCGATAAAGATGTAGTTTTTCGATATTAGGCTTGTGATCAATGAGATCAAATGCTTTGCTAAAATCAAGATACACTATACCACTCATCGCACCATTATCGAAAGCATCAAGCCAATTATCTGTCATTCGGATCAGTGCAGTAGCACGTGAATGATTTGATCTAAATCCAGATTGGTACTCATAAAGAACATTGAATGTTTCCAAATAGGGTTGAATTTGAGTGCTCAAGTGCCCTTCGAATATATTTGAAATTGTTGGGAGAATTGAGATTGGCCTATACTTGTTCGATTCATCTTTAGCTCCCTTCTTATGTATAGGAATAATTTTAGCCAGTTTAAGGGCACCGGGGA